GTTTAGCAGAAATATAGTGATTTGATGGGAAAACCATAAGTGCTAATAATTTTACTAGTGATTAATTTGGGGAGAAAATTAATTACCGTATTTTTCAGCTTAGAAATAATTTAACAATTGAGAAATTCATCCTTCGTTTGGTTTGACTTATTAAATGGCAGAGAAGGGTAAGAGTCTTAAAAGGTATTATTATATGTTTAATTATTTTTTTCATACTATAATAATTTATTTTGGAATATTTATGTTAAGATATTATTTAATGAATATACCTTTAGTATCTATGGCGCAATTTCTTTTGTACTCCTGGAGTACCGTCCATGCACATGGTACTCCAGGTTTATAAAATTCAGGTTATTTTTATGTGAACTTCTTAGTCAAATTTGCATATGGTACTCCAGGTTTATAAAACTCAGGTTATTTTGATGTGAATTTCTTAGCCAAATTTTTATATGTGGTTGGCCACACCGCGTGGTTAGCCACAATTTTTATTTTTTTTGGCTTTCCCACTTCTCACTACTCATTGTATTCCTTTTCTCATGCTTTTCTCTTTCCTACCTTCCATGAAGATGATTTCTGTCTCCTACCTTCCATGAGGATGATTTCTCTCACATTCCTTCCATGAGAATGATTGGTACAACATACAAACAAATTCATGTAAGAAATTTACACAAAGAGCAAGTAATTTGAAAACCCCCAAATCGATTTTTGGGGTTTTTATGTGCAATTTTCGGCAAAATTCTCAAACAATTCCGCAACAAAAGCATAAAAACGGGGTTATTACCAAAATTACAAAGAGACATTATTACCTATTCAATATAAATTTTCAGCAATATATACACTCCATAAATCACTCATAAATCCTTTAAAACAAGCTAAAGTTTAATTAACAACCCTTACTTTTATTCCCAATTAATGGGTAATTAAAATCCTTTCAAGAAACATAATTATAGCTTATATATAAAAATTCCAGCTTTATTAAATCATCTAAAATTGTTGTAATTGTGTTTTAAAACACTTATTTCAATAATTTAAATCACCCATAAACAATTTCCATCAATATACATAAACTTAGAAACCTAAGGTTTATATTTGGGGTTTTTTTAATTCAAAACCAAATCCGAAAATTTATATACATCATACTTAAAATCAAACATCATAAAAATCATCATAAAACTAAAAATCAATAATTAAATCAAGGCTAGATTAGGATTAAAAACAAAAGAGATTTTTTTTTTGTTCGAACGAACACCAACAGCCACGACTCCACAGCAGGGCTGCTGACGCGCGTTCGTTGGTGGTGTCGCTACTGTCGCCGGCGTTCGCTGGTGGCTGCGGCGGTGGCCGGCGACTTATGGTGGTGATCGACGTGTGGTGTGAAGATAATAAGGGGAAGGGGGAAAATAAGAGAAAATAAGAAGAGAGAGAGAGAGAGAGAGAGAGTTACCTTTGGGTATTCCCACCTTGGGCAAGGTTTAATTTGCCCATGTGATGTGTATTTATACCCTTTCTCTAAACCCTCCTACTTAAATTCCCCTTTCTACCCTTAATGATCCCTTCTCCTATTCAAACTAGTATTTTGACTTTCCTTAAATACCATTGGTTTTAAAATTTCCTTTTATAAAATAATATGCCCCAAAGTTTCCAAATCATGAAATAAAATATTTTCAAGATTGTAAAATAATTAAAAATAAACTTTTAATTAAAATAATTCTTTTTAAATTAATGAAACACCATAAATAATTCATTTCGAATTATTCAAATACTTTAAGAAATACTTATTTAAGTTAAAAATACGTATAAAAATACGGGGTATTACAGGCTACCCCCCTTAAAAAAAAAATTTCATCCCGAAACTTGGGTAACAATATTCAAAAATTTTCCTAACTTTGTATTATATTGTTGTGCTCTTTTGTCATACTTTTTCCTTTAATGTCTATTTGAAATCAAAATTACTCGAAATAACAGTTAAAAATGTGCAACAAGCACAAAAATATCTGAAAATACAGGGAAAAAGCGCGAAATTCTACCGCATTCTACCCCCCTTACAGAAAACGAATTACGTCCCCGTAACTCACCATACCTTAAACAACTCGGGATATTTCTTTTTCATCTCATCCTCAGCTCCCAAGTTGCTTCTTCATACTCTTGGTTATACCATAGCACTTTAACAATCTTAACTTCCTTATTGCGTGTACTACGCACTTTACTGTCAAGGATCTTGACTGGTTTTTCCTCATAAGTTAAGCTTTGATCTAACTCAATGGTTTCGGGTTGTAGCACATGTGACTTATCAGGGATATACCTTCTTAACTAAGATACATGAAATACATCATGCACTTTACTTAGCTCCATAGGTAAGGCCAACCTATAAGCTACTTTGCCTATCCTTTGCAATACTTCATATGGACCAATATACTTTGGGCTAAGCTTTCCTTTCTTTCCAAATCTCATTACAACTTTCATTGGTGACACCTTTAACAATACTTTGTCACCGACCTCAAATTCCTCCCCTCTACGCTTCAAGTCCACGTAGCTCTTTTGGCGATCTTGCACCGCTTGAATCCCCTTTACTTGATTAATTGTATCCTCGATCATTTGAGGCCCTAAAATCATTGTTTCACTTATGTCATTCCAACAGATCGGACTACGACACTTCCTTCCATATAATGCCTCAAATGGAGCCATGCTGATGCTTGCATGGTAGCTATTATTATAGGAAAATTCAATTAAGTCCAAGCTATCTTCCCATCCCCCTTGGAAATCTATAACACAAGCCCTTAACATGTCTTCCAGGGTTTGAATAGTTATATTAGTTTGCCCATTTGTGGCAGGGTGAAATGTTGTACTCATCTTAAGTGTTGTACCAAAGTTTTCCTGCACACTCTTCTAGAACCTTGAAAGAAACCTAGAATCTCTGTCAGACACAATATCTTTTGTAACTCAATGTAATCTCACCACATTTTTTATGTAAGCCTTTGCAAGTTGCTCCATCTTCCAAGTATCCTTCATTGGTATGAACACTGCAGATTTTGTAAGTCTATCCACCACTACCCAAATGGTGTCATTTCCACTCTTTGACTTTGGGAGGCAAGTCACAAAGTCCATTGACATACAATCCCATTTCCATCCAAGAATTTCTAACGATTGCATAGTTCCTTACGGTCTTTTGTGTTCTATCTTCACTTTCTGACAAGTTAGACACTTTGCCACAAATTCCGCAACCTCATTCTTCATTTTGGGCCACCAATACATCTTTTTCAAGTCTTTATACAGCTTGTCCCCTCTTGGGTGTATTGAGTATGGTGATTGTGACCCTCTTCCATCAACTTTCTTTTTACCTCCTCACATTTTTGTGGTACACACCAACAACCCTTGTACCTTAAACTCCCATTTTCATGAATTTTGAAACCCGTAGCTTTTCCTTGCTTTATTTTCTCATGAATTCTATCTAACTTTACATCTCCTGCTTGATTTTCCCTCATCTCATCAAATATTGTTTGTTGAATTCTTAGGTTTGCAAGTATGCCTGCTGGCACTCCCCATTCTACCACTTATAGATTCATTTTCCTCATTTCTCTACATAACTCATCAGCCACTATCAAAGCATTTAGTCCATGACTGGTTTTACGACTTAGAGCATCTGCGACTACATTTGCTTTCCCCTCATGATATTGTATGTCTAAGTCATAATCTGTCGTATATTCTAACCATCTCTTTTGGCGTGAGTTTAAATCCCTTTGAGTGAAAATGTATTTCAAACTCTTATGGTCTATATAAATCCTACATTTCACTCCATAAAGTAGTGCCTCCAAATCTTTAGCGCAAAAATGATTGCAGCTAGTTCTAAGTCATGAGTAGGGTAATGTACTTCACGAGTCTTTAACTGTCTTGATGCATACACAATCACCTTTCCATTTTGCATAAGTACACATCCTAGACCATTCTTGGATGCGTCACCATATACATCATAAATTCCACTATCGTCTGGCAGTGTAAGCACTGGCGCTGTGATTAGCTTTTGTTTCAAGAGTTTAAATTCTTCCTCACACTTGTCATCCCACTCAAACTTTTTGTCCTTCTTCATTAGAGAGGTCATAGGTTTAGCAATCTTCGAGAAATCTTTCATAAAACGCCTATAATACCCTGCTAAACCTAAGAAACTCCTAACATCAGACACTGTTTTTGGCGTAGGCCAACCTTTCACTGCCTTGATCTTTGCTGGATCTACTTCTACCCCATCTTTGGACACAAAATGACCTATAAATGCTACTTTATCCAACCAAAACTCACACTTAGAGAATTTTGCGTAAAGCTTGTTTTTCTTAGTGTTTGCAGAATTGCCCACAGATGTTCTACATGTTCTTCTTTACTCTTCGAATACACCAGTATATCATCTATGAACACTACCACAAACTTGTCCATAAATGGATGAAACACCCTATTCATCAAGTCCATAAATATTGCAAGAGCATTTGTCAATCCAAAAGACATTACCGTGAACTCATAATGTCCATATATTGTTCTAAATGCAGTCTTGGGAATATCTTCATCTGCAATCCTAAGTTGATGGTAACCAGACCTTAAATCAATCTTAGAAAACATAGTTGCGCCTCTCAACTGGTGAAATAGGTCATCAATCCTTGATAATGGGTACTTGTTCTTTATGGTGACCTTATTTAACTCCCTATAGTCAATACATAACCTCATACTTCCATCTTTCTTCTTCACAAATAATACTGGCGCTCCCCAAGGTGATGCACTTGGTCTTATGTATTCCTTTTCTGATAAATCCTGCAATTGCTCCTTTAACTCACTCATCTCTGCTATTGCCATTCGATATGGTGCCTTGGAAATTGGTGTTGTTCCTGAAACTAGCTCTATTGTGAAATCAATTGCCCTTTTGGGTGGCATTCCAGGAATCTCTTATGGAAACACATCCAGAAATTCATTTACTACTTCTATATCCTCAGGCTTAGTTGACTCTTCATGTTCCATATTCCTCACACTACAAAAATACACTGGATGCCCCTCTTAATATACTTTGCCAATTTTAACACAGATATGATCCTTGGGCACTTAGTTTCACCAGGCATCCAATATGTCACAAAATCATTATCAGCTGTAGTCATTTTTACTTTCTGTGATCGACAACTAATCTCCGCACTGTACTTGCTTAACCAATCCATTCCCAAATTAACATCGAAGTCACTCAACCCAAACTCAATGAGATCTGATAGAAACACTTTTCCTTCGATTTCTAAAGGTGCATCTTTAAAGGTCTTGTTACACTTTACTACCTCACCCGTAGGCATAACTATAGGAAAATCTACCTCATCTACGGTTTTCAAACAGTTTGATAGTTTTGAAACAATGGCCTTTGAAATGAAAAAAGTTGCACCAGAATCAAACAAGACTTTAACAGAAATAGAGTTAATATAAAAGTTACTGGTGATGACATCTCTCGTGGAATCAGCCTCATGCTTACTCATTACATTCAACTTTCCTGCAACTCCACCTTTCTGTTGGTTATTTCCACTATTATTGTTGGTTTTCGCCGCATTCTGCTGTGCCCCCTTGTTCCCAGAATAGTTGTCGCTTCCCTGAAAGTTTCTCTGAGCCCCTTCTTGATTATTTTCCTGTTTGTTTCGATTGGGATCCTTGGAGAAACATTCATACTCCCTGTGTCCTAACTTGTTGCAAGCACGACAGGTAACCAAATTTCCATCACAATCCCTACCAGGGTGATCGTTCTTACACTTCTTGCAGTAAAAATGCCTTGCTCCCCTATTATTTCCCTAGGTAGAGTTCTTAGCTCCACCATTAAAGTTCCAACCACCTTGGCGATTGTTGCCTTGAAAATTATTGTTGTTGTGGGAGTTGTTGTTATTATGGTGGTACTTCTGTTTCTTGAAATTGTTCTGGTTACCTTGCGGGTTTCCAGAGTTCTGTCCCACCTCTTTTCTCTTTTCCTTTCCTTCCATTTCAGCTATCTCTTTCCTTTTCTTTAATTCTAAGGCATGTAGGTGTGCATCTCTCCCATACACTTCATCCAAGGTTTCAAATACTTGCCCATACAACTTTAACTGCAAATCAGCAGTCAGTCCACTCTCAAACTTCCTAGCCTTAGACTTTTCTGTAGAAACTGACTCTTTAGCAAATCGTGACAGCTCAATAAACTTGGTGTAGTATTCAGTGACCGACATATTCCCCATTGCAAGGTTAGAAAATTCCTCAGCCTTTTGTTTCTGTAAGAAGCTAGGGTAAAACTTGTCCCTAACCTTCTCCTGAAACATAGTCCAGTTGAATCCAGGTAGTGCCTTAATGGTAGCTTCATTTTGCTTCCACCAAAGGTCAGCTTCATCCCTGAGGTAATAGGTAGCACAACCTACTTTTGAAGTTTCCGGACACCATACTGCCCTAAACAGTTTCTCAAACTCCCTCAACCAGTTTTCCAGTATAGTTGGATCAGGCTCTCCTTGATAGGTTGGTGGCTTGCTCTGCGCCACCTTCTTAAATAGATCTCCCTGAGCATCTACATTATTGGTTAAGTTCCTTGCTAATTGTTGGGTAACATCTGCCAACTGCCTCACAACTTCACCTAGCTATCCTTCATCGTTGTTGTTATTACTCCTTCCTACCATCTTTCTACGCTTGAATTAAAACAAAGGGGTCTTTATTAAATATGGTCTTGGCTAGCTCTCAAATTAGACACCCATCTAACTAGTTAACACCCTTGAAGCATACACATCAAATTTTAAGCTAACAAATTTGGATTACAAAAGTTAAAATTTCCAAAATTTGCAGCTTTGTCAACCAAATATTGATTGCTAACCAACCACCCATTTAATAAAGCATCACATTAATAAATAAAAATAATTTCCATGGATTCCCAGAGTTTAGAAATGAATTATTGGAATATTTGTGAGTAAGAAATGGCTTTTTGGAGTAGTGATACGAAATGAATGATTTGGGAAAGAAATGAATTATTTGTCAATAAAATGAATTAAATGGACAAGGAAATAAATGAAATTTTATTGCTGAGTAAGGAAATGAATGGAATACTAAAATAAAATGAGTTTAAATAACTTATGCAATTACATAAGTTTACTGACTCACTGTGGACATGCCACTTATTGCTTCACTGAAACTGGAATAATTAAAATGCGGAAACGAATCTGAGAATCTTAAAACAAATGAAACTACAAAAATCTAATCCTTTCGAACATTATCCTTCTTGTCGGTAGATTGTTTATAGCTTCCTGGATCGAATTCAGGGTCATCTTCTTCCTCCATTGATTCAGGTGACTGTGGTTCTTGCTCTACTTGGACAAACCCTTCATCTTCCTCATCGTCAGATGAAATGTCGATTATAATTGGAGTTGGAGGTGGATTTGGATTTGGAATTTTCATAATGGAACTATAACAGTATTGTTACTCTCATCCATCATCTCTCCTTCTTCCTGCCTTCCATCTGTCCTTGCTTGATTACCCTGAATGGGAGAAGAACTTCCTGACTGATGACTAGTGGAAGGGGAATTATTCCCTGCTGGACTATCATAGTAGTAATTGGAATATGGAATGTGCCAGCGCTCTTAATGATATTTCTCAACTATAACGAGGTAAGAAATTAGGTACCTATAATCTGGATACCACTGCCATAATAGTCTCTGTATTTAGAGTAGTTTGGGATATCCCCTGGTAAATAGAAATAAGAAAATTTTGCTTTGACAGCAAGGTATGGGGGTTCATCTAGAAGATAATGAATAATCATAGCAGAAACTCGATCAGGAAGGTCATAGTGTTGGTCTCCTAAGACATCGCTCATATGGGAACAATAGAATCTGATCTCCTAAATTTTGCTTTGACGGCAAGGTATGGGGGTTCATCTAGAAGATAATGAATAATCATAGCAGAAACTCGATCAGGAAGGTCATAGTGTTGGTCTCCTAAGACATCGCTCATATGGGAACAATAGAATCTGATCTTCTTGACATAATCAAACGGATGTTCATTGTTTTTCTTAACTAGAATACCAATTTGAGAATGTTTGTTAGGAAGAATCGGCATCCTGTAAAGGAAAAGGCTTAGAAAAGAATTCCCTTCCCAAAGAAAAAAAAAAAAAATACAGTTCTTGCATGAATTAGGTTCAATGTTCAATCAAACAATTTCACTATTTCTAATCATATAATCACCAACTTTCAATTAATCAATCCACATGATCAAACATCACAACCTAAAATTTAATGCATACAAGAACATAATTAAATCTAACTTATATGCCCAAATTCTTTCCTACCCAAGCTCACCAATATGCTTTTAAAAGCTTTTAACACATAATACTTACCTCAATTCTCGCTTTCCTGCAAAATGAACAAACTAAAAATATTTTTGACTTCTCTTTTAAAATTAATTAATTTATTTATTTTTGAAAATAAGCTCCGAAAAAGGACGAAATATTCGGCCAACATAAAAGAAAATTCGGACACCCCAAAATAAATAATAATTTGGATGTCCTTCATAATTCAGATTTTCTACAATAATAAAAAAAAAATTCGGACCTTTTAAAAAAAATAATGAATAAATTTTCCGGTTTTCAAAAATTAAAATAAGTGAAAATAACCCTCTTTTAAAATAACTTAATTAAATAAGCACTTGGCCAAGCTTAAAACAAAACACTTTAAAACGCGTTTTTGGCTTTAGTGGTAATAAAAATCTCAACCTAAGCTTAGGGTTGAGCAAAACTATCTGATTATCCGAAAATCCGAAAATCCGATCCGCATCCGATCCGAAAATTTAGGATAACCGATTCGAAAATATTTTCGGATCAGATATCGAAATTTCGGATTTCGGATATCCGAATATCTGAAATGATTCTAAGTAGCAAACATAAAAATACCTCTATTAAAAAAAAAACCCTAATAAAATGCAGCCACCCATTTTTTTCTCACTCATCCCTTTTCTCCTCTACTGTCACGCATGTCCCCCCCTTTCTCCTATGCTCCCTTTCTTTTTCTTTTTCTCTTTCTCTCTCCTCCCTTTCTTTTTCTCTCTCCTCCCTTTTCTGAGTTTTCTCCTCCCTTTCTTTTTCTCTGTCACACCTCACGCATGCCTCTCTTTTCTCTCTCCTCCCTTTTTTTCTTTCTCCTCTTAACTCCATATTACATTTCAGCATTTTTTCCTTCTCTATCCTCTTCATGTCCATACTCTATTCTTTCTTCTCTCAACTTTTAACTCCACAACAACACCGAGTAACACCGACGATTGCCAACAACGACCAACAGCAACACCGAGCGACACTGGCGATTCCCAACAACGACCAACAACAAATTAAATTGTGGCCAACAGCAACACCGACACCGACGAGGCCGTAATTTACTAATTTCATATCTAATTTAATTTAGGTTAGAATTTGGATGTAGTTTTTTTTTTTTTTTTTTTTTTTTTTTTTTTTTTTTTTTCAAATTTCAGATTTTAATTACTTGTATTTTTTTTTATATAATTGTAATTTTAGATTATATTAAGTTTAGTTCATAATTTTAGATAATTGATCATTTTATAGAGTAGACATATATTGATTGTAGAAGCAAATTTTTTTTTTTTATGAAATATAGAAGCAATTTATAAAAAGGGTCGGATATTGGATATCCGAGTTATCCTATCCGAAAATTTCGGATATCCGATTGAAATTTTTGGATCGGATATCGGATATCAAATATTAGGATTTTCGGATACGGATATCCGATTCGAAATTGGATTTCGGATCGGATATCCGATCCGTGCTCACCCTTGCCTAAGCTCCCAGATACCACTTTGTAACACCCTAGAAATTCCTTTCCTTTAAAATACCTTTTTTGCCCTTTTTAAAACACGAAATGGGAAAATCTAAGATATTACCGCCACCGTGAAAACGGCAAAGGCAATCAAAGACACACAGCGGAAGACTATCTTTTAAAACTATCCAAAACAAGTCAACTTAAAAAGTCAAACCAAAAGAAAGTAAAGTCAAACAAAGTCAACCTACAATTTGGAACCATTGTAGGCCCTAAAAACCTAATAATGCTGAAACATTTAAGTTAGTCTCATGAGCATAATAAAATAAATAATATTCAAAGCAAATAAAACACATTATATTCCTACGGAAACTAAGCATGATTCGCTTTTTACTCATGCCCATCATGAAAACGCTTCATCACCTAAAAAACTTCTCTCTTCTTATCCCCACTACTCGCCATTAGAAATAGGTCGTCGTAGGGTCAAGGTAAAGATAAGGCCAAACAAACATACAACATACAATCAGCAATGCTGAGTACATAAGCGTAATAAAACACATTATCATGTTTTCATTCTATCATCACACAACTTACCTTGTTGCATCTGTAAACAATCATACAAGACATTCAACACTTAAATAGACAAATACCAATGTCCATTTAATTTGATTACGCATCGAATGAGTTTCCCCCTAACCCGCCCCAATAAAGGGGTACTAACATGGGAGTTAACAGTGCCATTATAGAAGAACCACTCGTAAGTGGTGGAATTCCTGCGCATAGTAAAAAGGAATATACAGCGTCCTGTACTCCCAGTGGAAGTTATGGTTAAATATAAAGTCGCATAACTCCCCCCATATGTTCATACTCAAGGTATATACGTTCCAAGAGTTTTGGTGCGTAATCTCTTCCACTTTACGTTGCTTTACATATTATTATACTTGGTGATGACTTTCAAACCATAATAACACAATCAAACATTATAACTCATTCAAGCAATCAAACATACCAATTTAATTCTTGAATAATTAGTGACCACATAAATTTAAAGTTGAATCCTTTATAAACTACCTCGGTGTTAAATAACACCTTAAGCGCATAAAGCACCACAAATCCTATCCCTCAGTGTTTAGAACACCTTAAGTGCACTTAGACACCAAAATATAATTTAATCCTCGTGTACATAGACACTTAAATAGCTCCTTCCTCATGCTTATAGCATCAATAAAAATTATATGAACCATAATAAAATTTCTTTCAATATTCCAAACTCAATTAAACATTTAGTTTAATTAAACATGTTCACTATCATGCCAATAATAAAAGTGTGGTTCATAATCAACATGCCAACATAATTAATTCCAATCACCAATTCATCATAAATAATTCATACATCATAAATCATTCACCAACATCAATCATATAACAAATTTCAACCAACACCTATCATGATACTACTTGGAATTAATTAAACAAAGCCTAGCATACTTCTACATATTCAAATAATTACCAAGTGCGCAAACGTACCTTGAATATGATTTCAAAATCGCCACGACTAAATAAAATCACTCACTTGGAAAACTCATACAAACCAAAATTACATAGAGGCATTATTACCTATTCAATATAAATTTCCAGCAATATATACACTCCTTAAATCACTCATAAATCCTTTAAAACAAGCTAAAATTTAATTTAAAACCCTTACTTTTATTCCCAATTAATGGGTAATTAAAATTCTTTTCAAGAAACATAATTATAGCTTATATATAAAAATTTCAGCTTTATTAAATCATAAAAAATTGCTGTAATTGTGTTTTACAACACTTATTTCAATAATTTAAATCACCCATAAACAATTTCCATCAATATACATAAACTTAGAAACCTAGGGTTTATAATTTGGAGCTTTTTAATTCAAAACCAAATCTGAAAATTTATGTACATCATACTTTAAATCAAACATCATAAAAATCATCACAAAACACAAAATCAATAATTAAATCAAGGCTAGATTAGGATTAAAAACAAAAGAGATTTTTTTTTGTTCGAACACCAACAGCCACGACACCACAGCAGGGCTGCTGACACGCGTCCGTTGGTGGTGTCGTTGCTGTCGTCGACGTTCGCTGGTGGCTGCGGCGGTGGCCGGCGACAGAGAAAATAAGAAGAGAGAGAGAGAGAGAGAGAGAGAGAGAGAGAGAGAGAGAGAGAGAGAGAGAGAGAGAGAGAGAGAGAGGGAGAGAGAGAGAGAGAGAGAGTTACCTTTGGGGATTCTCCACCTTGGGCAAGGTTTAATTTGCCTATGTGATGGGTATTTATACCCCCTCTCTAAACCCTCCTACTTAAATTCCCCTTTGTACCCTTAATAATCCTTTCTCCTATTCAAACTAGTATTTTGACTTTCCTTAAATACCATTGGCTTTAAAATTTCCTTTTATAAAATAATATGCCCCAAAGTTTCCAAATCATGAAATAAAATATTTTCAAGATTGTTAAATAATTAAAAATAAACTTTTAATTAAAATAATTCTTTTTAAATTAATGAAACACCATAAATAATTCATTTCGAATTATTCAAATACTTTAAGAAATACTTATTTAAGTTAAAAGTACGTATAAAAATACGGGGTATTACAA